CTGTTCCACAGAATCTAATTCATTTTTCTTTCTTCCCTGTGACATCAACAAAAGAAAATCAGTATAGAAAGCCGTGCCTAAGTATTTTTTCACCCAAGGCAAAGAGTTAAATATATGCCCCTACACACAATCAAATTAATGGTACTCCTCTGTTACAGGGACCAGATTCAGAAATATATGTGAGTATGCATGTACTCATATATACGTACGCATGTATGTGTACATATATATGCTTAAATTGGGGGTCACGTTCCATCAAAATTCAGCGTTATACGAAATAGAATTAAACAAGGTCATCTCATCATGTAAATTATGCGATAAGAGAAAACTGGTATAAAATAAAAAAATTGTTCAAGTATTTTGTTATTTAAGTTAATAAAATATATTTTTTAACACAATACAAAATTAAAACTTATTTCTTACAAATACTGAAACATAACAAATGAATATACAGAGCTAAATAAAATTTTGTCACCATTTATAGTTTAGATCATTCAGATTTTTCTGCATTTTCAATTTTCTGTCTTTCTATCAAGAACGTAATATCATTTGCATTTTTCTTTTTGTGCTTCTTAAGAAGATAATGGGACAAGACTTCCATGACACCCTGTCTTGCCTTTGAACTCCTATCAAAACATATGTCATTTTCAATAAATAAGTCCATAACTTCTGTTATGAAAGCTAAACTGATTTTTAGAAATGTCGTTGAAAGTTCTTTTTCCTCTTCTTTAGAATCCCTATTTTTAATATTTTTGTGTTTTTCTTGATCTGCTGGTTCCTTGAGCTCATCATTAGAAAGACTTTCAACAGTTTCTTGCAAAATTTCTTCCAGATCTTCCATATTTACTTCATCTAAACCTGTTCGTTTTGCTAATTCAACTATTTCGTTCGCATCAACAACAGAATCTTTAGTGTCATCATACTTGTTTAAATCTGGTCAAATGTTTTTTCACACTCCTTTCAAACATTTTTCTTTTACCTCATTCCTAGAAAAATTTATGTTTTCTATAGCATTCATGATATTATAGTTCCTCCAAAAATTACTTATTGATTATTTATAATCTCCATCTGTTTTTGCACACATTTGTCTAAATCAGATAAATTCATTAGGTGGCTTGCAGCATTATCCATTAAAAGTAGTGCTTTTGGTTCAAGTTTTCTTATTTTGCAATAGTATTTAACAGACGGGCAAAATGTTCATAGTTATCCATGATTTTTATTAGACTCCCAAATTACAGGTAAAGTTGATTTTGATATTCCTTTCACTGCTCTTGGGCTTTTAGATTGCTAATCAAAAAGTGGCTTTAATTTGAAGTCTCTATTAACATGAGCACCCAGGAGAAGTGTTTTGCGATATTTCGCAGCTTTAAATCCTGGTGCATGTTTTTCTTCACAGAATAGAAATGTATATTTTGGCATTCTTTTCCAAAATAGGCCCATTACATCAACATTAAAAACTAATTCTGGAGGATAGTTTCCTCATTCAATTATTGTTCTTAATGTAGCTGGGAATTCAGCCGCCACTTTTATATCTCCACTTGCTGCTTCTCCTGCAATCTGTATGTCATGAAGACTATTTTGATGTTTAAATCTATTAAACCATCCTCGACTTGCAACAAAATTTTCAGTTGTGTCCCATGTTGTGACACAACTGAATTTGAATGTGATTAAAAATTCTTCTCTCTTTTTCCATTACAATAGCTTGGCTTAATGGCATATTGCATTCAATTTTGTCGTCAATCCATATAAAAAGTCGTTTTTCCATCGCCTCTATCATATTATTTCTAGAACGGGTTATTCTAGTTGCAGAGGTTTTTGTAGCTGTAGTTGCTGATGACACTATTTTTTTCTTTATTCTTAAGAATTTTTCTTATTGTTGAAATTGACAAGTTCAATGCAACATAAATTTGACACTAACGTTCACCACTATCTACTTTCCAAGCACTTGCATTTTAGTTTCTACCTAAATGCTTTTTTTTGTTGCTTTATTTTCGTGTTTATTATCCCTCCTGTTAAAAACTAAAAATTATAATATTTATCACTATATCCATCATTATATTACATAAATTTATACAGTCAAAAGTCTTTAATCTGGACGTCCATAATCCGAACCTCAAAGCTACAAACTTTCTGTGCATGCGTAAACGCATATGTGTTAAAGCATGCGCATAATACCTTTACGCATGCGCGTTTAATGTATAATGGACGGTATAAGGTAAGCTAAAATTACCTAATTATCTATTTCAGTTAATGTTGACAGATTGCGTTGTTCCTTAATCTTCTAATGGGATCCGGCTTATTATTTTGCAGACTGTTAGAGCAATTTTATAACAAGTTTGAACTTTCGATTATGTCAAAAAGAGTTTCCGATTCTGGAGCTCCCAAAGGATCTACAAAGCGAAAGCATGTTTCGATGTCCATTAAACAAAAAGTGGAATTGCTGAAAAAATGGATAAAGGCAATAAGAAAGTGACAGAGAGGTGATTTGTTTGTCTAATCATTCCGAAATCTATTTATCAAATTCACGCTGCTCTGCGGGGTGGGGGACGTCGCGGCGCGCAATGAACTGGAAGTTGATCTGTCAGCACTATCCTCATCTTCAGGGCAGATGTTTTTATTTTATTCGGCTTATAATTCCTTACTAAATGTAGTGTTTCATCTCGATATACTCCGATATCATTTAAATCAATTTCCTCATCATTATAAATATCGCAAATATACATCAAATAGTTTTCTGGTTGCAATTTTCTAATTTCGACTATGCGTAATGTATGCTTTACACATGCGTGCGTTGAAAAAAATGTATAATAAAGTAAACAAATAAATATTAAGCTTTTTTTTTTGGTAAATTTTGATACCCTTTAGATCACAATTGCTTTTTATTTCATAAATTACGATTTCATATTTTTAATTGTATAATTTTTGCATGCCATCTTACTAGATTTAAATTAATGATCTATAATATGGAAAAACCGATAATCCGGAATCGCCGAAGTCCCGACGAGTACGGATTAAAGACTTTTGACTGTACTTACAATGACAGCAACAAATGTTTGAAATAATAAAAATACATTTGTGTAACACTACAGAGAAGAAGTAATGCAGCTAAATTACTTTCGATTTTGGGGAAGGCCAATACTGCACGCATATTTCAGGGAATCCCACTATTCTAATAATAATGTGTTAAACTGAAACAGCGCTAAGCAGATCAGCATTAAATGGGGTCTTACTATATATACATTTCTGAATCCAGTCCCAATAACAGAAGAGTACCAAATTAACTGTATTTCTATACTTTTGTACTCAACAAAGTTAGGTTTACGAAATTATACCATAACTCTAATAATATTTGTAACCAAAACTTTATGTATTCAGAAAATTAATATGTGTAATAATCTACAATTTTTAAGTGAAAACCTTATAAAGTACCTTTTCGATACATAACTGACACTGAAATAATATGAAAAGTACTGAAACTGAAAATGTATTCAAGCTTATTTTGTAATTCAGTTTTATTGCTTTTAACAAAGTAAAACCGATAATAATATTTTCAAAATCTACTTTAATATTTAATTTATACTCTAGAGTGAAAACTGCGATTTGAGTTTTTTTAAACTAAAAGAAAATTCTGCAATTTTTTTTTTTTTTTTTTTTTATAGTTTTCTAAAGCTTTCTTCATCCTAACAATAGTAACTGCCAACCTTAAAAATATTTTGAATGCAGTTTCTGAATTCAGACATTATTAAATTCAATTGCATTCTCTTATTTCCAAGAAAGAAAGACATCCATCTGTAATGTTCGTTTGTTTAATTCAGCATGGAAAAGGATAAGAGGATATATTCAGGAGACGGATGCCTTCTTGGAGGACATTCTAAGGGAAGCAGGTTCTTATTTAGGTTTCACATGATGAAAATAAAATATACATACAGCCAAACTGTTCATCGGCATTCGATATTGGGTGAATATCTCTATTAAGCATGCAGCTTTATATTTATTTAAAGTTTTTGATTGCTGTGCTTTATTTATCTTTCATTTTCTTGCAATATTAAATTCTGAAAAGGCTTGCACAAAATTTTAAACTGATCTGCTTAAAGAGAGTATTAGGTTCAATCTGTTGTAATGATTTATGATTCAATGTCTTAGATTTGAACTTTGTATAAATATAAAATATGAATCATAAATTATATGAATATATGATAATGACTTTTGTGTCATTTTAAAAACTAAATGATTAATAATTAATTTAGTCTTATTTTAAGATGTAGTTCTAAAATTGCCCAACTTATTTGGAGCCCCTTCTAGCTGTTCACCTGAGGCAAATGCCTCATTTCCCTCAGCCTTGTCCCAGCTCTGCCAGTATATATAACATTCCACTCTAGATAAACATGTGTCTTTGGGTCCATTTACTGTGTACAGAGCTGGATAAGACAAAAAAATAATGCCCCAACCAGAATCATGAAAATGAAAATACAATTTGCTCACTAACTGTTGTTCAAATGCAAAGTAATATGGAAGAAATTTAATATTTGTGAGTAATGATGTTTCTTGGGAAAAGAAATCTCAGGTAATTGGGATTAAATCTCAGTTTACAAGATTCTTGCTTTTCCCTGGGTACCATATTCTCTGTTCCTATAATGCGTAAAAAGAAAAATAATAATAATAATAATAATAAAAATATGAGACGTGTAACCTTTCTGAAGAAAGAGCATGCAGAAATAAGTAGCATGTTTTCTCATTTAATGTATAATATCAAAAACACTTCTTGAAAAAATATTTTATTTGTTCACTTAATAAGTGATAAGTGGCTCATTACTTGGTTTCAAATCAGAATTAACTCGTATTAAATGATGAAATGAGATAGTACTATACATTATAAAAATTAATAAATATTTTAAATGGTAAAAGTAATAAAATAAAAAATAAACGATTTATTATGCTATCAAAGAAAGTTACTTAATTAAAAATGCAGACTGATATGAAATTGTTCAAAATCAACTTACTGAAAATAAGGTTTCACATCTGCATAACTATCAGAACTTATAGCCCATAAACATTTTCCAGATTGCACTATTTCAGACAGATCAAATGGTAAATGTAATACTTTCTGAAATGCAAAATTACATATTAAGTTTAATTAAGAATTAACAAATGTTGCAAAATAAAACCGTAACTGGAAAACCATTTTTTTAATATAATGACAAATGTGTCTTTTATGAAAACCTTATGTATTTCACACTATAGAAAATTAATAAAATAGTTGCAGTTTCTATGATGACCACTCATGATCTGAGTGAGGAAGGTTTCCTGTGGAGGTGGTAGTCTCAGTGAATCAGCTAGAAAGCTAATTCTTATCAGTGATGATTTAACTACAAATCTAAGTAAGGAATACTCTCACAAAAATTAATAAATCACAAATTACTTTATACCAACACTTTTAATTAAATAACATTTCAAAAAATGGAAAACACACCTTTTATGTAAAACAAATATAAAATTAAGTAAAACTTTATGTTATAAATTTTGTTTAGTAATTTCAGATCTACTGTCCGACCACGTATTCCAGATTTGCGTAAACATCCAGTTTGGGTCAGAAGTGGGCATATCTATCCATGATGTAGGGGTGAGTGCAGTATTGTAAGAAAAAGCACTAAATGACCTCTGAGAGGAAAAAATTCCATGCCTTTCACCAACCTCCGAGAGAGAAAAATACCGAAGCTTTTCACCTACACCCCTTCAATTAAATTAACCCAACTTGGCTCTCAGCCAAGCTGCTCTCACTAGTGTGGTTAGACAGTAGTTACTATTTATTAAAACATCCATGTACTGGATTTGTCATGTCTCCTCTAAGACAGACCTACTACAATATTTTCAATACCTTTTAACTGTGTATTTAAATTTAAAACTATATTTTAATTTGCTAAAAGTTTATTCTAAAGTTAATTATTTAAGATTTATAACACTTAAAAAAATAGTCATACAAAGGTACATTAAATTGCAAACTTCAAAATCAAAGACAAAAAATGAACTACTTTAAATGCTATTTTAGAACTGATTTAGTACACAATACTAGCTGCTCAGAAATGAAATGACAAAGTATAAACCATATAGAAATGTGATAAAAATCATTTAAAGCAGTGAATCTGAAAATGTTAGGGAACATTTTAGGATCCCAAACGTTTTAGGATCGCAGCCACGTTTTAGGAGCCCGGGCCATATTGTAACTTTAAATTCTCAGGAATATGTTTTTCATAATATGTTTGGACCCCTTTTATATAGTTTTTTGGCAGCTTCGCAACTCAAGATTTTTTTTTTTTTTTTCAATCTTTAGCTTTAATTTTAAGAAATCTGTTTTATAATCCAAAGCAAGATGAGGTGATAAATTATGTAGCATAAAATATACGGCCTTTGTGTGCTTTACCACACTAAATTAAACAAACAGGCATAAAAATTTTATCAAATTAAAGATTAACTGCTTTGTTCAACTAAAACAATTTTGTTGCTAAAACAAGAAATACAATTTTTTGATTTATGTATTGCATGAAATATTTTAGTTTGATAACAAAATTAGACATTTTGTGGTTACCATAAAATATATTTGATGATCTCAGATAGGTTACAAAACATCTTATTTGCAGTCATTTATAACTCGTATGGAGAACTCTTAGACAGCAGAAAGACTGAAAAGGTGGCACTACCAGCTGTGCCCTTTCATACGGTAGGGTTGATTTTGGGGATTGGGCAGAGCAGTACCTCTCTGGCAGCCATCAACGAAGCATCAAAGTTGCCTCACTCATGTCATGTGATACTGGCTGACTTTCGAACTAGCATGCATACTTGCTACTACTGTGGAATTCCGCTTATGATTCTTTGATTGTGTTGAATGACTTACATGTGATATTTATCTTTGTTATTTTTACACGTGAGCTAAGCTGATATATTTTTCAAATCTAATTAAAGTAATACATGTAAAACCAGGCATATTATCTTTATCCTTGCATTAACATATGTCTCTATGAAATGATGACTCTAATCTAAACTAAGGTAAGACGTGACACTTGTATTAATCATAAGACAGGAATTTAATCCAACAGTTACATTCATTTTGTGGTTTTGCAGCTGAAGATGGTGGTTCGGTAAAACCATCGAAACTAGTCCTGTGAAAATTTTGTAAATATAACGCTGATTTTTGTTGTTTGACTTCTGTCTTAGTATTTATTCGGTGCATTATTGTGTCTTAACATAAACTAAATCTTTGGTTTAGGTGATTATGACAAAGCACTTGAGGGCTATCTGCTTATGAGAAGGGATGCCTCCATGGAGGCCTTTCTAAAGGAAACTGGCTCATATGCATGTTACACATGGAGAAAACCATGAAAACACCCATGCAGCCAGCCTGTTTGCGGGATTCAAACTACGGACTAAACTACCAATGTTCAGAGACTTTACCTCTCAGCCACTGGTTGGCTCACTAAATCTTTGGAAACTGTGTACACAAAAAGGTTTTGAAAAGAAACACAAAAAAAAAAAAAAAAAAAAAAAAATGGCTGCAAAAATTTATTACTGCTAATTGGGCCATATTCAGCTGACATATCATATCAATTAAAACACCCCCTTCCCCATAGGATACTATAACAAAGCAAATAATTTATTGGTTACTGTTCTGTAGAAAGAAGGTCATAAATTTTAATAATTTTATTTTAAATGCAAGAAAAATACAGCAATAACAGTTAATTTATATACTTGTTTAAAAACAACATGGAAAACTGATGCAAAACAAATCTACATCTAACAAAAGCACAGGTCTTACGAATGTGCTTCTCCAAAACAGCATGAAATCGCGCTGCTGGGCGAGAGTTTCGTGGTCAACAGGATAATATGTAAGTACCAAGAGAATTTAAAAATATTGCTGCTGAAGAAATATTCGATTTGCTGATGATGCATTTAAGGAAACTTGATTTTCATGATGATTTTTTTAAAAAAGAAATCTTTCAATTGCAGTCCCAACATAATTATAGTGCATTTTTTTAATGTTTGAGAAAATATAGCACTGATCAAATCAGATGAAAAGTAGATCAAATAGAAGACCAATTATGGAAAAGTTCTTAGCGAGCAAAAAGTGTCTTGAACAAAATAAGAATGATCATCAAAAATGTCTTTCCACTTCCTGGCTGCTATTATATGAGTTTGCTGAATGCAAGGAAGTACAAAGAAAGCAGTCAATAGAAGCAAGTTTTGAGTGAGAATAGATGAGATAAGAGGACTCATTTCAGACTCATAAATTTCACCCGGGAGAAGTCACGCGGGGCACAGAGTCATCCCATGCGTCAAAAGTCAACAATCCTAAACGGAAATATTTCATTTTAATGAATCATCATTATAGTATCCTTCTGTTTGACACTCCCCTTGGAATATGTATTGTTATTTTTGCTTGTTTTTCTTTTCCGTGAGAGAAGCAATCGTTTCTTGGAATCCATGAGGGAATGGGGTGACTCAGTCACCCCGTGCGACCGTTACTGCTTCGAAATTTTTCATTAGTAGCAGTTTAGCTTCATGCTCTCAAGTGTTTCCGTTGTTGGTCTGTTGGATTATTTGATGAATAATGGCTTACAAATGTAAATTTACCAAATATGAAAAAGAGATGGAACGTTTGAAAACTCTATTAGATGAAGTTGAGTCTTCTGGAAAAGAAATTGGGTTGATCTTTACATTATGGTAACTTGGCATTTTTTTGGCGAAAATTTGGCGACGAACTCTCCTACAGCAACCCTCTATTTTTTTTCCCGCCACCATTTTGTCTTCACAAAGTAAAGACATGTTTCTTTTCTTTTTATCTACTGAACACTTCTTCCAACAATCTACTAGCCGAATTACACTCATGCTAGAAATTTTATCTAACAAAACTGCTTAATCATGACAAATATTCACTGCAAAATTGGGAAAAAGTGCACAATACCATACTCCTTAGGTGTTTTTCAAAATAACACATACACATAAACCATGTACACGTCAACTTATTTTTACTTAAAAAAACATCCCAGGATTGCACAAAAATGGCATTGTGCACGCTCTTCACTATATCCATGTACACTGCTTTTTTCTCATAAATTAGAAAAATTTCACGAAAATACATGACAATTTTCTCAATCTTTAAACCCGGTAAAAAGAACATATATGAAATTACCTGATCGCGAAAGAGTATTTACCCTTTCCAAATATGAACATTTCCACATATAAAATAAATAAAATATCCAAAAACTTTTACCTCTAAATCATCTATTACATTATACACGTCACCAACGAATTCATACTGCAAGCATTACAAATACTTAGTATCAAACATTTAAATTATTTCCATGTATGTTTACTTCAACTAAAACGTATACCAAATTCCTACAAACATAAATTAACAAAATAACTATCATTTAATTAAAAATAATTAAAATTCAAAAACACTACTTTAAAATATAAATGAGCACATACATTAAATTAATACATAATAATACCCATTTCGAATTCACTTTAGTTACGGCCATGGGATCCAAAAAATTCACGAACTCTGTTTCACACAACACAGAATAAAGCCAAATACAAAATTTCCAGATTTTTTCCCGATTTCCCCCCTTTTCCGATTAAAGAACCGTAATTCGTCCATTAATATCACATGACATATCCCATGATCTCTCATTTCCCTCACACAAAATAATGCGTAATCGGAACTGAGTACTGCTCACATTATTACCAAAGTCCCAGGTAGTAACCTTTATCGCCTCCAAAATGTCGCCAAACTACCAGTTACCATATTGTAAAGATCAACCAGAAATTGATCAAGATAGTGAAAATGAATCTGATGAAGAAATATATAGTTCTCACAACAGCAAAAGTGAATTTGAGCAGAATGATGAAGACGATGGAAATCCTGATTTGGTAAACAGTATTTTTATTAGCAAAATAAGAGTTTGGCAGAAAGGAAAACCAAATCAAAAAGTGAAAACGTCTTCTCAAATTATAATAACTCATTTACCAGGGTTAAAAGGAACTACATGCAATATAACAGAGCCTCTAGAAAGTTGGGAATTGTTTTCCAATGCTAAAATGATACAATCA